CCTCAGTCAAAAGGGCCACCAGAATCCTGCCTGAGCAGGTGCTTTGCTGCTTCCTACACAGGTTTCAGACATACTGATCCTAATCTTCTCAGTCAAACTCCAAGACACACAGTGTCAACAGTTAAGGCAGCCACAAGTTCATTATCTACATAGGGCGCAATTACTTGGCAGCCACCTAGACTGTGAGGTTTTTGTGGGTCCCCAGAGAACTCATATCCTGAAGAGAGAGACTAATCAAGGCGGGTCCTCTTGGCAGGGACATTGAAAGGGTGGGTTACGATTGATAGGAATTTTAATTTGTGAGGACTTAATCTGATATGCTTTTGGAACAAGATAGTGTAGATGTACTTATTGTCCATTTTCTTGGAGCATTCTTTGAAGATTCATTTGATTATGTGGTGATAGTATTGTTGAAAGGACACAGAATTTTATTACATAAATCTGCTTCTATCCTTCACCTGCCTCACTGCCCAGGGCTACTGCAAGGATTTATTCAGCCTGCATTGTGGTGAGGGAAGGGATGACTAATGTCTCAAACAGTGTGGTGTTCCCTAGTCTGCTCTCCTGCTTGCTGAAAACTCCTTTTTGGGAAGGCAGATGCTGAGTTTTTCAGGAAGCACTCAGGATGCAATGTTTTAGTTTTAAGTATATGCACTGGTTGACCCTTGAGCGGACAGAACTTTTGTTGCCAGAACTTGGTGGCACTGGTGTGGGTGATCTTAAGGGCCAGGTCCTGACACCAACAAAGCCAGGAAGTTTGGGATATATAATCAAGACAAGCCAGCAGTAGCACAGGCTACAGAATGGGCCTGTACTCTCTTTCCATCTCTCGTCTATTGAAAGTAGGGTCAATAGGAGGCCAGCTCATCAGGAGACAAGGATGCATTCTTTTACCTGCCTTGGTCACAGCACTTGAACACTTTTCCAGAGTACTCTGAACCCTCTCCATTCCCATGACAGGGTCTTGCTCTGTTTAGGCTGGAGTACAGTGGTGCAATCTTGGATCACTGCAACGTCCACCTCCCAAGCTCAAGCGATCCTCCCACCTCAGCCTCCAGAGTAGCTGGGACCACAGGCTCAGGCCACCACACTGGCTAATTCTTTTTTTTTTTTTTTTTTTTTTTTTTTGTATTTTTTGTAGAGACGGGGTTTCACCATGTTGCCCAGGCTGGTCTTGAACTCCTGGGCTCAAGCAATCCGCCCACCTCAGCTTCCTAAAGTGCTGGGATTATAGGTGTGAGCCACTGCACCTGGCCTCCAGAGTGTTTTTGAGGGTAAACATATACTGTGCCACATCAGGATGATCTGTCTTTGACTTCTGTCAGAGTTGAAAAACAGGATTCGGCATAGATGACTTCACCAAATCCATTGTGTTTTCAGGTTAAATAATGCCCTTCGTCACACCCTTTAGCATACAAAATTAGACTTACCACCATTGTTGCCTTTTAATTATTTAAACCAGTCTTGCCTGAAAAGCAGCAGTTCTCAAAGTGTGATCTGTGGGTCCCTAGGATGGTTTGAGGGGTGTGCAAGCTCTGCCCTTCAACAACATATCTGTGCGAGACTGGATTTCCTTCATCTGCTTCAACCAGAACAACATACTGCAACGATTAAACACAGATGCAGATACAGGAATTCAGCTGTCTTCTGCAAATCCAAACATTAAAATGTAAAACAGTGCCACTTTTCTAACTAAAAATATTTTTTTACAAAATATAATTTTTTTTCCTTAAAATATATTGTTTATATTCATTTTTTATACTTATTTCTAAATAATATGTTTAACTTTCGGTTTTAGTTTCTGGCATAGTAAATAATGATAGCTGTTAGGTCTAAATTATTAAGGACCTAAAACAATAGATATTAATGTTTTAGGTACTTAATAGTTTTAAGAAAGTAAAGGGCAGGGCTTGAAGCCAAGAGGTTTGAGAACCACTGCACTAGGGGACTCTCTTGGTGGAAATGCCTACTTCTCCTTTCTCTTGGTCCCGTGTACTGGGAAATGGTATAGCACAGGCCTAGATGTATACAAACACTTTCAGAGAAAAATGGCTCCAGTGTTTACTATAAAACAGATATCAGACACAGTCAGATGACAGTCATGACGATGATGGTCATTGCTAGTCTGGGGAGCCTTTCGATGTGGGTGCCCGCATTTCTCTTGATTCAGTACACATCGTTTCCTCTGTGTTCCTTCTGTGGCCCAACAACTCATTCTTGTTTGAAATATACGGACTTCAGTATCTCACTTTAATTTTGCTCTTCTTATTAGCAGTGGTTTGGGCAAAGCATTTTTTTCCCATTTAAAAATGTTTTTTGGAGATCTTGGGGAATTTTGGAGATCTTTGGGGAATTTGTTTTTGTTTATTTAAATTTCAGTAGTTTTGGGGTACAGGTGGGTTTGGGTTCATGGATAAGTTCTTTAATGGTGATTTCTGGGATGTTGGTGCACCTGGCACCTGAGCAGTGTACACTGGCATGTTGTCTTTTATCCCTCAGCCCCTCCCACTCTTCCACCCTTAGTGCCCAAAGTCCATTATATCATTCTTATGCCTTTGCATCCTCATAGCTTAGCTCCGACTTATGTAAGTGGGAACATATGATAATTTTTTTTCATTCCTAAGTTGCTTCATTTAGAATAATGACCTCCAGCTTCACCCAGGTTACTACAAAATACATTATTTTGTTCCCTTTTATGGCTAATATTCTGTGGTGTATAAATATCACATTTTCTTTATCCACTTGTTGGTTGCTGGGCACTTAGGTTGGTTCCATGTCTTTTGCAGTTGTGAATTGTGCTGCTATAAACATGCATGTGTGTGTGTCTTTTTTATTTAATGACCTATTTTCCTTTGGGTAGATACCCAGTAGAGGGATTGCTGATTGAATGGTAAATTGTTAGTTTTTTTTTTTTTTTTTTTTTTTTTTTTGAGACAGAGTTTCTCTCTTGTTACCCAGGCTGGAGTGCAATGGCGCGATCTCGGCTCACCGCAACCTCTGCCTCCTGGGTTCAGGCAATTCTCCTGCCTCAGTCTCCTGAGTAGCTGGGATTACAGGCACGCGCCACCATGCCCAGCTAATTTTTTGTATTTTTAGTAGAGACGGGGTTTCACCATGTTGACCAGGATGGTCTCGATCTCTTGACCTCGTGATCCACCCGCCTCGGCCTCCCAAAATGCTGGGATTACAGGCTTGAGCCACCGCGCCCGGCTAATTGTTAGTTCTTTAGGGAATCTCCATACTGTTTTCCTTCGTTGTTATACTAGTTTACATTTCCACCACCAGTGTTCAAGTGTTCCCTTTTCACCACATCCACGCCAACATCTGTTATTCTTTTGATTTTTAATTATGGTCATCCTTGCAGGAGTAAAGTGGTATCACATTGTGGTTTTAATTTGTATTTCTCTGATAGTTAGTGATGTTGAGCATTTTGTCATATGTTTGTGTGTGTCTTCTTTTTCAGAATTGTCTATTCACATCCTTTGCAAATATTTTGATGGGATTTTTTTTTTTCTTGCCAGTTTGTTTGAGTTCCTTGTAGACTCTGGGTGTTAGTCCTTTGTCAGATGCATAGTTTGCAAAGATTTTCTGCCACTCTGTGGGTTGTCTATTTACACTGCTGATTATTTCTCTTGCTGTGCAGAAGCTTTTTAGTTTAATTAGGTCCCATTTATTTATTTTTGTTTTTGTTGCATATGCTTTTGGGGTCTTAGTCATGAATTATATTTGCCTAAGCCAATGTCTAGAAGAGTTTTTCCGATGTTATCTTCTAGAATTTGTCTGGTTTCAGGTTTTAGATTTCAGTCTTTGACCATCTTGAGTTGATTTTTGTGTAAGGTGAGAGATGAGGATCCAGTTTCTGAAGGGGAATTTGTGTTGGCCTACTGGAGCCTGAGATGCAGGTTAACCCTCCGCATGGAAGATGGCAGATTATTAGAATGGGTACCTGATGACACCACACTTTTTCTCTCAGCTGAGTTCTCGACCTTAAATGGGGCATTAGTGCCAGGGTATCTCTATATAGTCCTAACCCACTGGAGAGGCCTTCCTAAGGACAACAGGGTAAGCAGATGTCTCAGTCTTATAGTTCTGCCAGATCCTCATCAGAGATTTCCTCCTAGGAAAGCAAGGACTGTTTGATCATTTGACTTCCAGAGTATCATATGCAAATTCCCTACCAGGGAATGATGACATGGCCCATCAGACTGCCCGCAGCTTACCTGGTTGTTGTAGGAGTGTGTGATAGAAAGGAATCGGGGAGAACAGCCATTGACACTGGTAGGGTAAGAAGAGAACTGGTGTGCTTGCCCTTCTGACCCAAGAGATTTATGCCCTAGGTGTGGCTGTATGAAAAGTTTTTCTACCTCCCTACTAGTATACAGGTCATCACTCACCATCAGCAAGGCAGCTGAGGGAGAAAGCAGCAGCACGGGATCTGATGTTAGCCTTAGGTCCAAGGCCGAGCTCCAAACTTCACCGTGTGACCTCGGCACATCACCTAGTTACTTCAAGACCCAGTTTTCTAATTGGTAAAAATAGAGCCATGCCTGTCCTATCTGTCTGACAGAATTGCTAATAAGATACAGGGAGGGGAGCACTACACACTGGGGTCATTTGGGGGGAAATAGGGGAGGGACGGGGGGGGGTGGGAAGCTGGGGAGAGATAGCAAGGGGAGAAATGCCAGATGTAGGTGATGGGGAGGAGCAAATCACACTGCCACGTGTGTTCCTATGCAACAATTTTGCATGTTCTTCACATGTACCCCAAAACCTAAAATGCAATAAAATAAATAAATGGGAAAAAAAAAAAAAGAAATAAAAGGAGTTGTTTAAATGGAGGAAAAAAAAAAAAAAAAGATTTAGATTAAGTGAAATTACAGATAGGAAAGCTGAAAAATATGTATGAATATTAGTTTTGTAAAAGGTTTATCCTACCAAAAGGGTTTCTGGTCTTTGTCTCTTGCCCTCTGGACTCATAAGCCTTCTGGTTTTTTCTCCAGGTTACCTCTGCATGACAGATGAGTGGTTCTCTGAGTATGTCTACGAGGTGGTGGTGGACAGGAAGCATGTCCCTGAAGAGGTGCTAGCTGTGTTGGAGCAGGAACCCATTGTCCTGCCAGCATGGGACCCCATGGGAGCTCTGGCCGAGTGATACTGCCTCCAGCTCTTTCCTCCTCCCGTGGAACCTGACGTAGCTGCAAAGGACAGATCCAGGGACTGAAGCCAAAGTTATGCAAGGGACTATGTGTTGCCACAGGACACAGTCAGATTTCCAGCCTCCTCCAGGAACCTCTTCAGGAAGTGTGCTTTATGCTGAAATAGAATATTCTCAAAGAAAATAAAAAGGGAAAGATCAGGTCATACTGTCTACTCTCCTCATCTCTAACAGCTCAGGATCTCTTATAGCATTTTAACCAGATGTAATTGTTTGTCTTTAACTCTGTCAAAAAGTTTAGTTCTGTGTCTGTATTTTAATAAGACAAGAGAGGACGAGCGATTGAGGTGTATGGAGAGCAAACAGACCTAATGCTCCTTGTTCCTAGAGTAGAGTGGAGGGGAGGGTGGCCTGAGAATTGAGCTCTCGGAACTGCATGCTGCCAGACGGTATCACTGTCTTTCCTTGATGGCAGTCACTGAATTCCATTTTTTCAAGGTAATTTCTTGTGCCTCTAATAGCCCAAGAATCGGAGGTTGATCAGGTCTGACATGATTCCTTCCCATTCTGAACTGTGGTGAGCACAGCTCTGCTTGAGTCAGGTTTGAGTAGAGGCTTAGAGACAGTTGGATGAGAACAACCAAAATCTTATCATGGTCTCAGTTACAATCATTAGGGGGAGCTCTAGCCAAACGGTTTAACTTCTCCCTTTTGGAACTGGGGGTTGGGTGGGCAGGAAAAGGTGATATCCATTCTTTCTGATAACTAGATGGTGCTGAGAAGCTTTTGAATAAAAACTTTGCTAAATGAGAATAAGCTGATTTATGTTATCTGTCTAAGAAGTGTTAGTTTAACTACAAAAGAAAGCAGCCAGGTGGCTCATGTTGAAGGTAAAAAAACCGGAAGAGGGCTACCCTCCTCAGCTTCTCAGCAGGATATATGCTCTTTCCCAGACTCTGCTGATTCTCACCGGCTTCTGCAAAGGGCCTCCAAGCACCTATTGAAGAACTGTTCCCCTGCCATGTAAATGTTCTTCCACCTAGATCGGGGTCCCTCCAAGGGTGGGGAGTGAGGCTGTTGGGCCCACTCTTAGAATGGGTCAACAAGTATCTCACTGAGATTGGCCCACCCTTTCAAGAACAGGGTGAAATAGAAGACAATTTCACAACACACGGAGTTTGCGCCAACAGAAGAGAACTGATCCATTATGGAAGGTTTGAAATGTGTTGAGGAATGTAGAACAAAGAACATGATAGTTAGTGGATTAGCTACGCAAAAAGCAACTGTAGATGAGTCTTACAGGATTCAAAAAAAGGTAAAACTAAAATCCATGAAGGTAGCAGATAACTAGGGAGGGAGGTAATTGCAATTAACATACTCTTAAGATCCTTGTGTCATTCAGGAAGAAGGATCTTTAGACTTTGGTATGTAAACATGTATGCCAAAAACTTCCATAGTAGCTACTAAAAATAAGCAGAGGAGTCAGTTTCCAGTCAAGAATAAATAGAATCCAATCAAGAATAAATAGAAGCCAGGCTCGGTGGCTCACACCTGTAATCCCAGGAGGCTGAGGTGGGCGGATTACCTGAGGTTGGGAGTTCGAGACCAGCCTGACCAACATGGAGGAATTCCGCCTCTCTTAAAAATACAAAAATAGTTGGGCATGGTGGCGTACGTCTGGTAATCCCAGCTACTTGGGAGGCTGAGGCAAGAGAGTCGCTTGAACCCAGGAGGCGGAGGTTGCAGTGAGCCGAGATCGTGCCATCGCACTCCAGCCTAAGCAAAAGAGCAAAACTCTGTCTCAAAAAATGAATAAATAGAATGGGAAAATGCAGTCAATCCATAAGAAGACAAGATAGGGGAGAGAAAGAAAAGGCAGGACAAATAGAGCATCCAAAATAAGATAGTAGAGAGAAATCTAAATATGTCAATAATTATATGTAAATGGATTAAATGTTCCAGAAAAGAAAAAATGCCAAACTGGATTTTTAAAAGAAATCCAGTCATAGGTAATGACAAGAGAGAGACATTGGCAGCCTAGAAGATAAGAAAGGATGGAAAAGACACACCGGGCAGATACTAACCAAAATAAAACAAGTTATAACCCACAAAATTAAGGCCTCTCCGAATAACCAAACACACTGATTCCAGGGTATGCTATTTGCATAAACTGTAATGCGAATGCCCTCCCTGGAGCCGTGGAACACCACAGCCCCGGAAATATGCTTTAAGACAAAAAGCATTACTACAGATAGAATCACTATATAATGATATGCTTACTCAATTCCTCAGAAAAACAAAGATTCTAAGTTATGTACCCAATAACATAGCCTCAAAACATGTAAAACAAAAACAGCTGTATGGAAAAATAGGTAACCCAACATCATAGTGGGAGACTAATATACTTCACAATTATTAATAGATCAAGCAACAAAAAATTCAGATAAGAGATTTAAGCATTTAGTAATTTTGGTAAAATGGACTTGTAATAACACTGCACCTTCATCCTGAAAGCACAGGTGTGTGGAAACCAATGACCACGTATAAACCTGTTAAATAAAAAAAACTGCATCTAACAACTACACATTCTTTTTGATCACATATGGAACTTTTTCAAAAATTGATCACATTCTGGACAGTAGAGTCAACAAATTTTGAAGGGTGGTTACCACATAGACCACACTCCAACCACAATGCCATTAAGTTAGAAACCAAAATTAAAAGATTACAAGAAGACCTCTGTATATGGATCCAAGAAGAAATCATGAAGGAAATTTAACCTGAACAATAATAAAAATTGTGTCAAACGAGGGAGGGATGCAGCCACAACAGTAATTTAAAATGTTTATAGCATTAAATTATTAATACTACATTAAAATTGTATTAATGTAATTACATTAAAATAATGTAATAAGATTACAGAATTTTAATTCTAGTTCTGAATAATAGAATAAATTATTCTAATCTACAAAAATTAGAATGTAATAAAGGCTGAAAATTGAGCTAAACATCTGTTTCAAGAAATTAGAACAGCAAAACAAACCTAAAGAAAGCAGAAAGATATGCACAGAAGTTAAGCATAGCATCAACAAAGCCAGAAGTCAGTTCTTCAAAAAAAATTGACAAACATTAATTTTTTTAAAGCACCCAAGGAATTAAAAGGATATGCTGCAAATATTAGAAAAATAGAAGATACTCTTCACTTTCTCAAAAGCAACAGTAAAGGGATTTGTTTAGAAGACAAATCTACAAGCTTGGGAAGACCAGGAGAGGAGTCAATGAAATATCTGAAGCCAGAAAGCAGATGGAGACGTTGGAAGATTTAGCAGAGCTGAAAAAGTTGAATCTCACTGAGCCAGTAGTGGAGAAAGTCGTTGATAAGCAAATCAATTTACAATGCATAATCCCCTGAAAAGTGTAGATACGGTAGCAATAGAAGGCATGACTTCTGGAATTGGACATGAAGGGAGGGTTACCGAAAAGTTGAATGTCTATTGGGTCCCCTACCTATGTCCACCAGCTTGGTGACTGCCCTTTCCACTTAGCCCATTAGAGATTTCTTTTCTGGAGAGGGAACAAGTGTGTGGTCTAGGTGTCAGGTGAGTCCTAAAGGGGATTAAGTGAGCATTTACATTCTGAATGTCCTTGCCATCCTGTAGCCAGGAAACTGGAAGTCTTATCAGGAGCATCTTGATTAGGCCAATGGGAGAGATGTAAAAAAAGACTTTATGGCCTAAAGAACGATTTTATGAGGCTAGCATAATCCTGATAAGGATAGTGAAAAAAATACATGTAAACCTCCCCCATAAACATAGATGCAAAAGTCCTAAACCAAATCCAGCAATATGTAAGAAAGATAATCTTCATTATCAAATAATAAAAGCCATTTTTCAAATAAAATTAGGATCCAGAGTGGAGAAATGAAGCATGGTGGGTTTATCTTCTCTGCTAAAGATCAGGGAAATGGGCTGAAGTTGTGGTCGGAGGTCTCAGTTGGAAGAAATTGCTAATATTTGGGTGATGAATGAGGAAGGAAATGGGAGGGCATAGAGTTGTCTTTTGCTTTAACTCTGAATCATACGGTGTCACCAGAGGAGAGCTTGATGACTCTGGCATCTTGGAAGTCCTGGCCTGAGTAATGGTGACCGTATACTTCCAAAAGCCAAGATAATGAGACATGCCTTCAGGATGTGGTGTGGCCCCATCTGCTTGCCTTGGCTTGTCCTTAAAGCGCCACTGAATTCTAATTTGCTGTTGGTGGCACCAGGCCACTTGCACTTGAACCCCCATTCCTCTACTGCAGTGTGGGTGAGCGCCATTGCCAACCATGGCTCTACTTAGTCATTTGTTAAGTTAGATACTTTTAAAAGTAATTCCAGATGAGCATGGTCATATTTAGGACAGCTTGTTCAGAATGATTGTTGAGACTCATGAAGCCAATGCTTCCTTCTTGAGGTCTGTGACACAAATGGGTTGGAAAGTAGGAAAGAACTGGCCAGAGTTTTTCTGTTTTTCAAACTCCAAGTCCTTTACACATTACTGCAGAAGGAAAGGATATAGGGAGGGAATGTTCAATTCACACCAGCTGCAGCTGTTTGGTTTTTTGTTTTGTTTTTTCTTTTTTTTTTTCCTTTTTTTTTTTTTTTTTTTGAGGCGGAGGCTCGCTATTGTTACCCAAGCTG